AAGCTTTATATTTCAGTATGTTAAAGTACCTTATATCCTGTACTCAGTACGGAGGTCAGGTGTTGGAATACCTGGTGAAGGGGCAATGTAAAGTACGAAAAATTGTAACACATATTACAGGTGTGTTTCAAAAGACAATGCTCTGCAAAAAAAACCAGGCGCGGCGCAAACGAAACGTTCATCATATTAAATAAATGAGTAAGTAAATACTGCAAATGGGGCGTCGTCAAAATCCATGGCTAAATGTGTGATATTGCTACTTAAATTTTGACATAAAAGAATCATTAATAGTTAGAGAAGTTGCACTCAGAAATGTACATTAATACAAACACGACGTAGTCATTCTATATTGACCTTTTATTATTAATCTTTAACATTAAAATAATAAAAAGGTAAAGAAAAATAGAACAAAGCTATGGTTTATTTTAATTTTCTAATGATTTTCAATGTCTGCAACTACTCGTACCTACATCATCTAAAAATGAAACACGGTATTTTCATAAAGAACATACGTGTAATACATACATCCTACTTAGCACATGCCGTGATTTCAGTTGCTATTATTCCAATGGATTACCTCAGGATGTGGAAAAACTTCAAGTTCATAGACATCTTGGTTTTATGTACTCACTTCAATAAGAGCGAGCGATTTTTAAATAATATTGTGTCAACTGTGATTCAAATCAAATCTTCATGTGTTTCATTCCATCATAAGTTACTGAGAAATAGTGAATCAACTGTACAAGACTTGCCAATACGAACAAAGACTATACAGAGACAAATGAGAGAGAGAGAGAGAGAGAGAGAAAGTTTTGTGCAAGAAAGAGTACTGTCTTCCATAATGCTCCTTTTATTAATAGGTTAGTACATTGAATACTGATCCCAGTCATAATTCGAATAGCAATATCACATATTTTGCTATCGATTTTGATGATGCCTCCTATGCAGTATTTACTTATTCATTTATGTCTTTATTATGAGTAACATTTCGTTTGCGGCGGGCCTTACTTGTTTTTTTTGAGCATTGTCCATAGCGAATAATTTATTATTAATATAAAAAAGGAGACTAAATAGCTCAAATTGCACATTCATGATGCGCAGCGACTCAGATTGGAATAGTTGAAATTAAGTTAAATTATTTATTAGTAGTTATGTTAATTTTTAATATGAATAACATCTGTAATTTCGGCTTATTATTACGAAAATACTAACTTACGTTTTTGTTTAAATTTTAGGATCGTTATCATCAGCCTTTTTTAAGTCCCCACTGCAGGGGCCCAGGCCTTCCTTATGGATAGTAAACGAGGACGGGCCATGACCCTCCACGATGGTCCAATACGGATTGGAAGGAATTGACGACTGCAAATGCAGCCGGAACCAACGGCTTGAAGTGTCTCCAGAAACACCGAATAGTTCGAAAAAAAAATTTTTTTTTTGGTCACCCATCCCGTGACCGACCCTTGCGAAAGTTGCTTCACAACGACGATCGCGGCGCTTATTCACTACGCCACCGAGCTATTCGGTTTAATTAAATTTTAACAATATCGAAGCACTTACTTTCAAAAATACTGAATATATGTTTTTTTTGTTGTATAAAACTCTAGGAAATATTTCTGTGGAACAACATCAATGAGATAAACCAGTTTACTATAAAGGTTAAAAATAATAGATTTGAGTTAAGAAACAGTCGAAGGAAGTGGAAGTGCTATAATAAATTTACAAAACATGTCCGTTTATGGGCGCTGCCGGTAAGAAGTAAACAATGGCTCAACACCACGCGACTATCGAAACGTTGAAAGGATCCCATTTGTTTATAAACTTTTGTTACACTTTCATGTCGACGTGGATGGATGATGTTAAAAATAGATTAAAATACGGCTCATACATATTTTAAACTTGGTATTTCTCCGTAACTTTGTGTAAAAACTATGTTTAGATTATCTCAATTTTTTGGTCTGTTTTCAATTTTGCTTTCAAATTTGATGTTATTTAAGCCTGTACTTTTGTTATACGCTTAACCAATGTAATAAGTATTTTACATTATATGTCCTGAATGTGTGGCAGGACATAGTGACAAAATGTGAAAAAAACGTTGAACGTCAAGTGTTTCAAATAATTTAATTAAATAATATTTTGATTTTGAATAAGTTTCTTAGGTAATATGAAATCTTTAAGGTATGTTCTAGTATTATTTTTAATGTAATATTTCGTAAGACACTTTATGGGATCTTGGCGTCTAATTTTCTGCGGCTTCATGATGTATCTACTCCATCACAGCACATTTGTAGAATGTAATCTGCGTTTTTTTTTGTTATCGCATCATACTTTGCCTATTCGCCGGTGTCAAAGGTAGAGAAATCTGCGTATATGTTGTCCTGTTGTATAATATTTTCTAAGCATCTTTTTCTAGATCATTTGATTTTATTATGTTAGGTTTGGTTATTATTTAAAATTTGATGGTGATTATTTGTTTTTTATTGTTTATTTGCTCGCTTATATAGTCAACAGTCAACCTAATTGGATAGTGTTCCCAATTATTGAAACAGGCACGAAGTCGAGTTTTATTATTCTGTACGACTGCCTAACAGGTCCATTTCTTTAAGAATTTGTTTGATAAAAAGTCAACTAGATTATGTTTCACTGTAGTAATGCAATCAATAATTATTAACCAGTATTGTAATTTTAAATACAGACAGGCTATCAAACTGTAGCTTAAAATAAAATGAAAAGATAAAATAAATTCTCTCAGTTCTCCTAATTAAATTGCACCGTGCGACAAGCACTTGTTCTGTTTTTATTTTCAGAGATTATATTAAATCAAAACAGTGAATAGCCGTTACATATTAAAAGAGAAAGCGTACCATTTCATGGTATAAGCATCTGTTAAAGCTTGTAAATATTGTATCCCTTTGAATAATGTGACGCAAATAGAAATGTTATGACTCGTGAAGCTTCGGGCTCGTAATGCGCGGTGTTGAAACACAGGGAAGCGTTCATATGACGCGCCCTGCAGATGGATGGCCGCTGGTTGCACTGTGCACTGGCTCACGCCCGTTGCGAAACTGTTCCGGACACACAATTGGAATTTATTTTCATCCTCTTGACATAGTTTTGTCTATGATATTATTACAGTCTTTAGAACTTTACGGTAAACGAGGTCCGTGTTTCGAATGTTCTTTTTTTGATTGTCGTTTTGGAAAATTTTATCATTTTTAATACGCGACTGGCTGATATTAAGTAGAAACTATTTTTGTATTTTTGGTGGAGTGCTGTTGGGTATAAGAATGCAAAAAGGTCGGAATCCGGAGTCTGATTTTTATATTTATCGAATGAACGAACTTCACGTTACAACTATTTAGCATTTGATAGCGATTGCAATCGCGACTTTAATAGTTATTTTTAATTGCATAAATCGCTATCAATCGTTATATCTTTATTAATGAGTTATCGTGATAGATTTTAAAATTAGAATATTAAGCCACCGATTATAATGAATGGATTGTCGTAAAATCTTTGAGCATGCCTTCTTTAAAAAAAATGAAGTAATAAAAATGTTCGATCTTACTTAAAAAAAATACTTTTTCCATGAAAAATCTAGTTTTTTTTTATTAAAGCTAGATTTTATATAAGATAAGAAATAGGAACTTGTCATTGGAGCCTTAAGAGTCATGGCAAATGTGAGAAGGACAGGGGATTTTTGAGGGTCAACGACAGGGGTCCAGTTGCAACTAGCTAGACTTAGCAGTTACAACAACTGCTCCGACTTTTTAGTTTTTTTCGTGATTTTTTACTATTTTCATATTTTTTACTATTAAACATAATCTCTAAGTGTCATATAGTTTGGTCACCTTACTTACAATATTTGTAGCTCTACAACTTTGTAGGTGTGTTCCGAAGAAATGGACAACAATTAACGAATGTTTTACAATAATGCATTTCGTGAGGCAGATAGTGTTACAACGAAAAATATGTTTTAAAGAAAAGTAAATAAATCGAATGAAATGGTAAAAGACGTGACTTTGTAAAGATTAAAATACTCAAATGTAAAGATAAAAACGAACTTGTCAAATAAATTGAGTTTCTAAACATTTATTTTATTTTATTTAGGTAACTACATTTTATTCAAAATTATCGAAGGAATTTGCTGTAAATAATTAAGTACCTAATTTACTTAAGGGGTAAGTGGGTCTATTAAAAAGTGGAAAGGTTAATAATTGACCGTTGGTATTGTATTAATTTTGGTTCTGGAATAACGACTATATTCCGGTTAATTTGAAAATCTGTCGTAAATATAACGTCTGGAATGATCCCCAATAAATGTCTCTACTAGATGAGCTGCATCATGAGAGCAGATAAATTTGACAAGCAAGAGTGTATGGATGGCGTCATGATGGCCAGAAAGCTTAAGCAATTTCTTTAAAATAATATATATCGCGTAATTATTCAATATATTTTTAGGTGAAAATATCCAGGAAATCCCGGACGTCTAATTGAATTTTTACGGGGTTAAAGGTTTTCAAGATAGAGGATAAAACGTTGATACTTAAATTACTATTGGGGCAAGATACTTAAACAACGATGAATATCATATTCGACACTCTACAAAGATAATTGTAACTGTAAATGACTAATGTACAAACGAAATAAACGGGAATTGCAAACAATGACTCTGTGTTACCTAGTGCTCTATACTACCTACTGGATCAATTGAAAGATCTCGTTCACCGCAAAAACTACTCTGCAGTCAACAAGGATGATTCAGCTGTTACCCGTTACGACCCGATGCGTGTTTTATGACCGACATCCGTCTGTCACTGTGGATTTCAGTACTCTTCCTTTAACCTGTATGGCAGTCATCTGCTCGCGCATATGTCACAGGACTGGCCACCAGGTGTTTGGAAGAGGCGAAAAGGAAAAAACGGAAACGCGCCGGCGCATGCGCGGATCACTTTTCACGCGCGGGCGGAGGGTGCACCATCGACTTAAGCAAGGGTACTGGCCGCGCGCGCTCAGTCAGCTGACGACAGCCGCTGTGACCGCACGCTTCAACTCAACACCACCCCGTGACAGTTCCGCGCAGTGAACGCAACCCGAGTGTTAATCTCTTCGTGTTAATAAAATACAATAATAAAATGGCCACTTACGCCCAGTTCAAGCACGTCGAGCTCTACAAAATCGGCCACGGAAAGAATAGGTGAGTGTCGAAGGATGCAAGGGATGCTGCTCTTGTTTTATGGACGCTAAAGATCATTGTTTGGAAAGGTCAAGGGTTAATAGTTTTGCAGTTAGGAATTATTATGTAAATTTCCATTATTAACTTCATTTAAGGAAAAAAACTGGTTGCTAGATATTCACAGAGTTATTTTTAATTTATCAAATCCCTTTAAGGGTTTCTCTAACATGCTGATTTCTAACTTGATTCATTACGAGTTGAAGATCGAGAAGTTTCCAGGTTACCGAATAACAAACAATAGTGAAGTACTAGATATATATATATTAAATAGAACCAATATTTTAAAAGTGCGTTGAACTCTACATTGCTAATACTCTGATCACTCTACATGGCTAATACTCTGATCAACTCTCTGAAACTTAAAACAAAAACTTATTTGAGACAGGTTTTTGAGATAATTTAAAATATATAATAATTAGATTAAGTTTAATCATATTGATGAAATAAATGGTTCTAGGAAAAAAGGTTTCTGCGATGATTCCGATAATATGTAAAAAATTTTTACAAAATTATCTAAACGTTATTATTCATTGTAGTAAATATCACATGTTCTCGAGAGAACTTCTGAGATTTATAGTGCATAAAAATATATAAATAAAAAAAAATAAAAAAAATATCTTAATCATATTTTATATAACATTATATACTTTGCCCGCTTGGGATTCATTGTTCTCGCGATAATAGCTATCCTATGTCCTTTCCCAAGGTCCATTTTATAAATGTACCAAATTTCATCAAAATTGACATGTTGAAAAAACTAATATGTCGGTGTAAAATATGAATATTTTTAGATCGCTGAATAACAGGCAATATCATATTTCCATAAGTTTGGTATAATAATTATTATTTTCCAAAATTTACATGTGCTTGTACTCAATATTGTAGTTGAGTAGCTTCTGTGCCGAATGGGGTTTATATACTAAACCTGAATCTCAGGCTACAGCGCTCCTCTCTCATTATATGGTCTTAGTATAAGTATACAACATATCGATGATAATAAATATTGAAATCCATAATTGATTCATTTTAGTTTCAGCAGTTATAAATAACAGTATGTAGTTGAGGAAATTCATAATTTAATTAATGTTATAAATAACTTATATTCTATATTTAAATGACGCGTTATTATTGCGCAATTCTCACGTCTTTTTAGTTACAGGGATGTCATAGGTTATAGAATATGGTTAAGTTATATAAATAGTCGAAATTTCAACAACGTATCTGAAATAGTTACGATATACAAGAATGTAGATTCAAACATGCTATACTGCCATAGCCGGATAAGAGTCGAAACACGCGACTTGAATAATATGAAACCGAGCTTTTATGACCAGGCCGTATTATTTGCAAATAATTGAAATATGTTACAAGATTTTAACTAAAAATTGAGTTGTTCACTGACTTCGCAAGAGAGAGATACGTAATAAATCTTGCTTGGCATATATCACAGTTTCGGTAAATGCAGGATCTGCAATTTATTCTATTCTATATTGAAATAATAAGCATTCTAAATTTAATTTTATTACAGATTTAAAACTATTGAAATTTTTTTACATTCATTACATATATAGCTAAAATAAAAAAAGACAGCGAAATATTTAGTACTGTCGTCATTGAACAGGGGTTGGCTCGCGACTTGCGTGCTGGCTCCCTCAATTAGCATATCCATAGGAAGTCTGCGATTACTCGAGACTGACAGACAGACGAACACCAACGCCTTTACAACGTCCTCTATTCTTGAATTCAGTATATATAAAACGAGGGCCCTAATACTTGACCTTGGGGCACCCCATGCTTATTTAACCATTTTGTAATCCGTGAAGGAAAAAAGGAGGTCAACAAGTAACCTAAATGTATAAATTTAGTATCCATATAAGTAAATAACCTTACTTAGGATTATAGACACCATTTTTTTGAAATAGTTGATACCAGATTAATAGTTATCATCAAAGATTAAAGTTCAATTCAGAATGTATATACCAGCTTCTTGTTGTTCCCACATATATGACACTTAGGATTTTGAGCTGCCGATTGTAGACGATAAGCTGCCGATCTAACCCGTATTCGGGGTTAATGAGCGACACGATGATTGATGGACTATTTAATTTATAGTGTATCCTAAATTTTATCTAAAATTTGCCGAGCGCAGCTTTGCGTTATCAAAGCACTGATCAACTTGAATTATATCGATGTCCAAAAATTAAATCATACATTTATAAATAAATGTTAAACCCAAGGCGACGCCAATATAATTGTCAGTCTCTGAAGAGTGTTTAGAAGTACTCCAAAGTATATATTGTGGTTGTTAAGAAAGTGTGGCCACAAACAAGCCGCTTTTGTATTTTTATTGTAAGGAAAGCACGCGTTAGTAGTAAAAAGGATGAATTATCTCGAGTTTATGCAGCAGTTGGAACAATGTTGTGTAGTACTACCAACTAGTTACGACGATGTCTATTGCGCAGTGCTAAGTAATGCAAGTTTTAACAGTAACCATTCCCATAGTATATTCTTGTTTGTATAGATTACTTAAATATTTAAGTTTATCAAAATTCTAGGTTGTGTTGTTGTCATAGTTTTTTATTAAAATTTCTACAAGGTTAGCTTCATAATCCAAATAGCTTAATGTCAATAGAAAGTATTTGTGTAAATCTAGTACCGTAGTAAATAATCTGAGTAACTGGTTACCTTATTTAGATATTATAATAATATGTTTGTTGAGTAAACTTACTTCGTGTTCGCTGATGCTTACTTACGATGTGCTCCACAGCATTAAGAATAAATAATTGTTCAACAAAAATTGGTCGTTCATAAACAAATAAATTGTAGCTTTAAGGGATCTATACAAACGGAAATGATAGTTCTCTTGGATCATACGTACTTTTGAATAAACTTTATACCCCGGCTAGGATAAGTAATATATAATATACACGTAATTTATCATCGTTACTATTTAAACCTATGCAAATATGTGAATTTTGCTGAATAAGTTTCTACAATGAGCGCATTTGTGTCCACTTCAGCTATTCGTTGACCTATATAGTATATCCTATTAACAAACGGTATGACATTATTGCAGCATGTACTGCGAACTGTGCGGTTTTTATTAAATTAACTTGTCACTAGCCGCTACATTCTAGATAGATACTTTAAAGTCCTGTTTCTTTGTCACATGCACGCGTCGGACGCAGCATTCCGTAGCTAAACGCTTTTTTACGTGAAATGTCTCGTGCTCTATAATCGAAACAAAAAGACGTTCTATCGGCATTTCATCGGTGACAGATGTACCGTAAAAAGCTGTGACATCGACTCCGGTACACTGTTACCATTTAATTTATTATAAGTCATATAACATAAACTAGGTATGTTTGATTTCAGCGTGACTATTATACATATTTTTGATGAAGGCATCGATTTTCGTGATTGAAATTTTACTGACCATTTATTTTTTTTATTGATAATTTATGATTGTAAAAAGATTATACAGCCAGTTGTACAAACGTCCATTTAAATTGTCTGAAGCGGCATTAGCGCTACATATCAGTTAAGAACATTAACTAAAGCTACAAGTCATGCAAGTTCGGGACAAATAGAGAGCGATATAAATTGTTAGGAATTTTCAATGTTTTACAGTTTACGCTAAAATTGTAACTTTAGTATTAGTCCAAATTTATATTATACAGAGAATAAGCAAACCTACTTACCTTTTAGGAGTAAATATTACCTTTGCTAATATCTGTTTAATAATGTGAATTTTAATTAATACTAAGTGCAGTCTCAGCAAATTTACGCTGAGATTATTACTCCAACGCTAAAGCTTGTTTATTAATATATGTTAGTGTATAACTTTACACTCATCCTTGGTGTACAAACTCTACTTCTAATAAAAAACTAAAATTACCTGTTGACAAATCCCTCTTTGCTGATACAGATAACATATTTAATCTGTGCTCGAGCATGTCGGCTATCATTTGGTTTGGGTTTATCGTGCAAAAAATGAGCAAATATAGTAGAATTGCCATGTGACACGCATATGTCTAGTCGTGGAATACCACACTTGTACTAAATTAATAGTTTCGATGTTATATATATAGTCGAGGAGTTTAATCATATTTTTATGTTAAAAGTTTATTTCTATTATTTCTCTATCTTTTGCTGTCTTCACAAACTACGCTAAACTTAATATCAAGTGTTTTTCATTTCATCGTAAATTCGAAACTCCCTTTAGTTGCTGCATAGACGATATGATACTATAGAACAGTTCAAATCTAATATGAGATGTGGAATAACTACGTAGTTTATATATGTATCGGTCTTATTGCTCTGTAATCTGAGTCGTTTCCCCAAGAAATCAGATTATACAATAAAATTAAAAAAACAGAAACAAGGTCAACCCTCGCGTGCCCTCGCGAAATTTCACGAGGAAATAAACGAGTATTCTGTGCGGCAATAGCTGAAACTCATAAAATTGTTGATGTGATATATACAGTATGTCACGCTATGATAAACGACTTCGTTCGTAACCGGCGAGGTATATGTCAGATAATTATGCTAATATTAGCAATAACCCATAATTATTGGAAAACCGTGATACAAAATAGATAAAAATTTAATTTATATTAGTAGTAGTAGTGAAAGGGTTTGGTCTGTGATTGAGCTAGTTAAGATACTCGTACTTTGGCATCAGAGATTTATTTTGAACTCCTTCGTGTTGCGAAAGGCATGTTAAGCTGTAGGCTTCATCTGCAGTTGCTGCAATACCCACGATTCCGCTCTAGACCCGCGTGATATATTATCAGGGAAAACAGTTTTGCTATTCTTTTCTGCACAGCGCTGCGACATCATGGAGCTTCAATGAAATAGAAACTTTATTACCTTTTCTAGTATTATTTGATTGAACTTTGACATCGAGTTCGAGGCTGTTATTATAATAGAGCTGGCACTGCTGGGTATGCCTTGTTCTC